CCCCCCCCCCCCCCGCTCCGCCGTCTTTCCCCTCCAGGACACCATCCTGAATCCGCCTATGCACAGGGTTTAAGTATTCTTGTGGTGAATATCGTTTCCATGCACTGAGAATTAGAATTAGCAACGTTAGGAGAGATCATGTTGCCAAATACTCACCAAAAATATCGCAAAATAGCCGAATTCTGCCATATGTTTTTGTTGGGGGACAAGACAAACGCAGGGATTGTCAAAAATTTGACCACTGGTCAGTCCAGATGGACAAGTGTTAGCTCTCCAGCGTGGAGAACCAGATCATGGATCAAAACTATTCGATGTGGTGTTATTATGAGTGTTGTTATCATGGTTTCCCGCTTATCATGATTTTCAAAAATTTTAGATGCAGTCATCACGAGATTAAATTTTCTTAGTAATTTTCTGTTGTTGAGCTAGTGGCTAGACGGCTGGTCGGCTAGCCCAGTGCTCCGGCTTGTCGGGTTGGATCTTCGACTCCTTGGCGATAGTTCAGTTGGGTAGTAGGGTCCGCGTCCTTCGTGAATCGTCTGGGTCGCCTGCACAATACACCATAGCACAACGCTACTTTCACACAGAAAACAGCGACCTTATATAGGTAGCTTCACGTCATTATGCATGCCATAGCTAGGAGGGAGTCATGATGCAACAGTGTGATGAAACAGAAATGCAGTATCGCGGTGAATCGAGGAATATTGGCATATGATTGCTAAGATAACCTGGTCATCCTCAGTCTTTTGGCATTCAATCGAATGAAATTTTTTGAGCAGTATAAATTGAAGTAATGAAAATTATTATTTTGTGATTTTTTTTTGGCTCAAAATTGCAATTTTGAAGAATTATCGATTTGTATTTTTTTTTAAGATAATCAGTGAATTGTTGGACATCAATTTGACACCCTCGAAACCAGCCTATGGATTAAGCCCAGCTTCACCTCTGTGCCTGTTCGACTGTGCATACGATGGAATCGAACTGTCCTGGAGGTGGGATATAGAGTCGCTAAAATCCGTACGAACACATATCTTGAAATCGTGGGCCGAGTATCAATCAAGGTATTTGGTTTGCTTGGCGTCTATATTAATGTCGTTACAGTGATGCCGAATAATAAGCGCGAAGGCAAACAGCCGCTCTTTTATACTTTTTTTACGGTTTTTTAATCAGAGGGGAGTCATATGAAAGGGGTCTTTTTTATCCCTACTTTTTATTAAGTTATTAATTATGCCACGACCGTTGTACTGATAAGGTCCAGCTGTGTTGCTGTCTTGGCGGAATAATTGCTAATTCGGTAACGAGGAAAGCTAGAAAGCAAATTTAGCGGGAAAATTGCTAACTCGGGAACGAGAAAAGCTAGGAAGCCGAAACTTTCTAGACGTTTTCTAGACAATTCAGCCGAAACTTTCTAGACAATTCAGTGGACCGAAATATCTTAATCTTAGCTAAATTATTATTTCTTCATACGTAATATAGGTTTATGTTTTTAATATTTCCAGTATAGAGTTAGCTGCTGATAGCTGTTCCCTGGATAGCGTTTATAATTCTGCATAAACCTAATAAGTAATTTAGCATTTAATATTAAATATTGACTATCTCAGACGGTATCATATACATTCCTTGAGTACGCGAGCGGTTCTAACTGGAGGTAAGCAACTCATATCTATCACAGCTGCGGCAGACATGTTCACGATATCAGTAGTAGCAGGTCAACGTCACTTTTCCTTATTTTTTCAAGTTTTTCAGATCGATTATGTTGCGGAATATGGCTGAAAGTATTGGTCTTTTAATAACTGATGAGGACTGCGGCACCAATGCCCTGAATGACTACCTGAGGCCAGCTGTAACATCAACCAAAGTTTATGTACCGATCAGAAAACGTGGAACCTGTGATGCGCTGGAGTTGAAGCAAGAGAAAATTCGCAGGAAAATGGCAAAACTGAAAAATACTGGCTTGCCATCGTAGTAGTTTTTATGGGTTTTTTGCAGCTGTGCAGTGCAGAAGCGAGAGGTTGTCTGTGTGTCTGTCACGCTTTTTCATCTCAAGATCTACAAAAGCTATAGGGCTGAAACTTTGGGAACTTAATCTACATGCACGTAGGGGTCCCAATCCCCAAAACTGGCATCATTACTCGCGTGGTACCCACATACGGGCCGGCCAAAGTTTTTTACGGGTTAATTGATAACTCGGGAAAGTGAAGAGCTAGAAGACTAGAATTTTGAAGGGATGTATCCTGACAGTCCTGCTGGCCAGTCTGAAATTCTTTTAGCTATAAGCATTTGCCGAAAAAGCTGGTGCCGTTAGCAACAAAAATCTGCGGGAGCTATGCAAAAAACGCATCTTCGCATGGGCAGCCCGTGCGTTGGCCAATTATTTCGTTTTGGTTGCGCCAAGCCAAGTTTTCCCTAAAAAGCTGACTCCTCAGGAAGCTTTGATTATGCATGTATCATTTTTGTTGAGCGTACGATGCACCCTGTGATGCTAGCTTATCGATTTTTGTATGAATTAGTAAGCGGGTGGTGGCTGTAGCGGATTTTTCATTGTTGCCCATGGCAGCACCTTTCTGATCTTTACTTATATCATGTGCTATGTCTATGTATACAGCAGGCATGGGCAACCTTTGGCGACACGTGTATCTAATTTACATACTTACTCGGCTCGCAGGCCACCTTTTAATAAAATCCGAGTAGCAGTGCACCAGGTTAAGACGTGTACGACTTAATGGCCCGAAACGTCTTATCTCACTCTCTCCACTAACCTTCATTACTGCCTCCTGCACTTGCGCATCCCGCCATCTGCACTTCCAGGGTTGGCCTGAAAGCTACAATGTACTTGCCTATGCGATCATGCGTTTTTTCACTAAACTTGACGCCGACAGATCGTTAACAGTATGAAAGGTTATTGCTTTACAATTTAACACGTGCAGTTCATTTGTCTGTGTTTTGGTCTTTTCTTGCATGTGAGACAAAAGGGGTCGGCTGACGCAATCAGATCGTTAATGTTGCTTTTTGTTGAAAATTACTTTTGTAAAATATTGGTTGTCATCGCTAATGTGTTTTATACATAAATAAAGTCGTTTTTTCAGTGAGTAAATCTATTTGATGAAAAAAGTTTTACGGCTTCTTTACCTTTTTTGAGCAGAAAAATGTTTTGCTGTATAAAATGAAATTCATTTGTACTGTTTGGACAGATTTTCCACATAATTGCGAAGGATATTTATGTTGACTAGGCTATTTATATTGATTTTCAGGCACCTGACAATACTCCAAACGCATACTGCTACTTCATACGCTAAGGATGAGTGATGACGAGGAAGTGGGTGAAAATTACTTTGTTTCTTATTAACATACATTGCACTAATTTCATTTACCACAATCATCGTATTGGCGAGGTGCAGTTGCGGTAATGGTAAGAAATGTATACGACTTAATGAACCGAAACACTTCTTAC